GTTATTTAGTGTCGCCTAAGGTTCAGGAAGCGATTCGTGGGGAAGTGGATATAACGGTTGCGAGGCCGTTTCCCCATGCCCGGGGGTTCCGACAACCCCCGCGTAGACCGCTGTGAAAACTAACATGGACCCTTCAGCCAAAGGGTTTCCCGACAGAAAGCCGCGAAGACGGAGTAGGCCTCTGGAGTCGACACGAAGTAGTGTGCCGCCTCAGACCATCCCCAACTCGCGGCCGGAACCAACTCTCGAAGAGCTTCCCTCTGCGGCTCGAACTCTGGACATCGCAGGAGATGGTGCTCAGCAGTATCACTGCCTTTTCCACATACACACACATCTCACCTTCCACAAGGCCCAAGAACGCAAGGCGTGTCTGGAACCTGCCGTGTCCAGTGATAATCTGTGTCACTTAGTGGTCAGGGCGGACCCACCGAGCATCAACCTTGCTCCTTATATCGTCGAACAATGAGTAGTGCGGCCTTTGCTCGAAGAAGACCATCGAGCCTGTCACATCTTGTACGCCTCGCCCCTGATGAGACCGTAAATTTCTCAGACATTTCCGGTGAACGGGACGATCGCATTTTCTATCGTGGCATCCATCTCTTTTCTCGCCATGTACTGCGCCGAGTATTCGTCGAGAAGAATGTCGACGGGGACCGCATCAGCAGCCACACAGAGCGATTCCGTCGACGCCGTGTGATACGCAGCTGACGTCGAGATGAGTGCTCGACGCTGCAGGATCCTGAGGACCTCCAGGTCACTCTCTACGCACAGGTCGGCCCACTCCGCAGCGGCATAAGCCACTGTCGGCGCGAATACACCTCGGTAAATCGCGAAGGGCACACTGAAGCGCAATCACCACCGACATCCCGCCATCCTAGCTAATTTAGTGAATAGCGACCCGACCTTGTCGCTTAAGTACCTATAATGGGAGGATACTCCCATGTCCCTCTCGAAATGGATGCCGAGATACCTGACTGTTTTCTTAAACGCTTTTCATTTCCTAAAAGAATGGTCAGTGGTCTTGCCGCGAGGTCAGTTTTCTTGGCCCAGTAGACTTTATGTTTTATGTCCAGACGCACTCCTCCCCGTCTACCGATGGAGGCCTTCCTAATCGGCTCGCTCCTGAGGAAAATTGCCTCAGTCTTGCGCGATGAGATCTGGGGTTTGGCTCCCTCGCACCAATTCCTAATTATATTATTCGTTGCCCTCTTTCTTCTATTTCTTTATGTGAATCGCCTTCAACCGTGACCCAAAAGTCGTCGGTGTACGCGACCTATCTATTTCTCTCTCTAGTTCTCGGAGCAGTCCGGCGAACATGACCATCCAGCACGCTGTACCTAAAACTGAACCTTGAGGGCAACCTCGAGGCAACGTACGAGGCCTTCTATAGCGTTAAGGGGATGCCGGACATGCAAAAAAACATTGACTTTTTTCTGCAAAGTTTACGTCTAATTGCTTGCACGGAATTACAAGCGCTTTTACACAACAAAAGTACACGCAAAAAATAAATTGGAGCATTGCTCAATATGTAACAAAAACGAAAAAAATTTATAAAAATTTAAATTTTGAGCTGTCAGTTAGTGCAATATTTGCTTAATACGAACATTCTGCAGGTTATATACAGGGTGTTCGGAAAGTACCGGGACGCCCGAATATCAGGAAAAATATAAGTTTTACAAAAAAATGTTTCAGACAAAAGTTGTGGCGTTTAAAAAGATGTATTTACTGATCACATCAGTTTGACCTTGGGTTGCGTAGCGAAGGTCAGGTCAAGGTCA